ATGAAATTTGGCAGTTCTTTTCCACTGAAATAGAGAGCGAATAGATGACACACCACCAAACAATTCTAATTACGTATACAAATATATCCTAGATAATCCAATTCAAAGAAATCGATAGATGTTCGTCTCATTCCAAAGTATAAGAATTAATTTTAAACTAAAAATATTTATAGGTATTAGATTTAATATCGAAAATAACCGTAAACATTAAAATATTATTTTTTTAAATTTTTTATTATTGTTTCAACAGCAATCAGAACTCTTATTCTATATGTTTTATAAGTTGTTTTTCTTGAACACGTATGACCTAACGTATTTTTATGAGAGGCAAGGCAACCCATCGGTTTATCATTCTCCTATGTGTTCTTTTATGTCTAATAGTTATCATATGATTGAATGATGCAGCTATGTCCACGAAGGACGATTTCCACTTGGAATTATATTGTGATCTATAACGGAAAATTGACATCAAAGCAGCCTGATGTCAGGCTTTGGCGGTAGCGGGAGTCGAACCAACGAACCCAGGACTTGTTGGTGCTAGCTAAGGTTCGAACCGATTTCGCCACGCCGGACTCACCCTTTTCGGGAATTAGTAATATTACCGATTATTATAATTTTTAGCCTTTAATTCATTAATAAATTTTATAAATTCATTTGTACAATATCCCTGACCGACAAAACATCCAAACAAACAAAACCCAACTGAGCATTTTATTTTTTACGCCGCTGAAAGAAAATTTTGAAAATAAACAAAATAATAATATTCTACAAATATATTTATATTTTTTTTCAATTTGCCTAAAAATGTTTTCGAATAGATATTGCGATAATAACGGCATTGACATTACGATGATCAATCCTAAAATGTCATCGCAGTAGAAAACTAACGGTTGATGTCGATAACCCAATCATTATAAAACAAAAACTATTCAATAGCAAATATTTTAAATGTCATACGAAAGTAGAAGTTGACCTCAGAATATTGATCTATTAAACGACAAAGTTAGAAAAAGCTAACATTTCCATATGCTCCATAAGCACAGGTTAGGGTTATCATACGGGTTCGATCCCCTTTATGGGCAAGCTGGTATCAAGCAGTAGTAATATTTAATATCTTGGAAATATAGACCTAATAAGAGAAGCTCGAGTGAATTTCGGATTGTCGTACCCAAATGAGAAATAAAGCATACACACACATAATGTTTTTTTCAAATTTGCTGACCAAAGGATTCAAAATGACTCAAAGCGCCGAGAAAACAAAATTAGCAAATCAAAATTAGCAAGTGAAAAATATAACAATTGTATTTTATAAAGTAATACATCAATTCCATTTTTATTTTTATTTTATTTTATTTCCTTAATTGATTTATCAGCCACATACAACCAATCTTGCAATAGAGATATTTGTTCGGTATGAAAATAAATGGCAAATGAAAACCACTTATGTTTCTTGTTTGTGACACCAAAATGGTAGTAGAAAATATGAAGAAATAACTGCCGAATACATTATGATAAGATAAAGTTGGCATATTATTATTCGAAAATAAAGTACGAGGCAGCAGAAAATACGACGTGATGAGAATCGAAAAATAATCGTATAGTAAGTAGAATTATTTATAACACTAATTATTAGTGCAAATTAATAATTAAGCTAAATGAATAAATGAGTTTAGTTTCGAAATCAAAACTCATCAAGCGTAAAATCTAATTGTTCTTGAACTTCTGAATGGCGGGAATTCAAACATATGTCGAATATCGTCATTTTCAAATAGGTTAATATGTACCTGTTATAAAGATACGTCATACATACGGTTCATGTGCTGTAAGGTATCATTAAACTAATTACAGATTTAAAATATGTATTAATTGTAAACCTCCTAAATAAAAGATAAGTTTCGATGTATATTCTTTATACCATACATCGACTAATGGACTGAAACACATTTCAATCTCTCAAACCGGTTTAGCTTGAATTCGAGTTGAATGGGTTTGACTGTACTGTACTTATATGTAACTAATAAAAAACCAACTGCAATACCACTTTTATTAAAGCAAATTGGAAATGCAAGTTTTATTCAGAATTAGCAATTATGGCAAATATTCAAACGTGAGCAGTGAAGCTTAAGATTGATAAATTAAAACATTTAGACACATAAAATTGATTCTTTCTGTTAAAAATTAATTTGAACATTGATTCGTAATCTATACCCAATAATAATATGGGATTTCAGAGTACACAACAAAGTTTTAAAAAAACTGGTGGTGTATGGCATCATGCCTTAAGGCAAATTACTGTAACTGCCCGTATCAAAAATTATTTTTTTTTTAAATATTAACATTTTTGAGAAAAATTTACTTCGAAAAAATTAGATTTTTGAGAAACTATAATTTTTTGACAAGATTTTTTTTTTTTTGAAAAATAATGTTTTCTTTATTTTGAAATATTTTGGAAATTCTGAACTTTTTTTCAAAGCAATCGTACTGCTTTAACAGCATAGAGACGAAATATCGAAGCGCGTAAGCGCCGTGTCGCCGTCTAACGGATGAACATTGGCATGGAACCCATAGGAATGTAAACAAAATTTATACTTATTATTAAAATCTCCATAAAATATCTGATAATTTGATGTGCATATATCTAATGATCATTTTTGACCTCCAAATAGCATTTTGTTTTTACTTTTTTTTACCAGATCTCCGGAATCGCTAGACCTGCCTTCCCAAAAACTTAATCAATTCTTCATCTTGTCAAAACAAGTAAAAATGTTTTTTGAATTATTAAAATCGGACGCCCAATTCTCTTTAAAACTAAGTTACAGTTTTTGGCTCTTTTTGCCCTGTCTCATCGGAACCGCTAGACCTGCCTCTGTTAGAAACTAATCAGCACGTCTCCTTATTAATAGCAATCGAATATTTTAAAATTTTCCAAATCAATTGATTCGTTGTAGCCGAAATCGTCGACAAAAATTTGTATCCGCACACACGCACACACATACATCGTTTTTTCTAAGATATGCCAAAATGTTCAGAAAACCTCTGAAACGTAAAGATATATAAAATTTTTCAGTTTCGATTTTTTGCGATTACTAATTGTTAATAATATGCCTTTTGTGATATTTTAATAAATCGAACGGAGAAAGGATCATTTCACTTTCAAATAAGAAAGACACTATTTACATTGGCAGTTGTTCATTAATTATTCTTATTCAACATTGCTCTCCTCTATAAATAATAAAAAAATTTAATGATCACTTTCTACAAAAAATGTTTATATAGAAACACTTTTTTATGATATATGACATCGGGTCGTTGACTCGCATTTTGTTTTCCAGATTCTTTTCTCCTGTACAAATATCGTAAATGTTATATTTTAAGATGTTTAATCACAATATATGCCAAACTCTCAGGTTTTTAGTTTAAATTCCAACAATTTCTTATCAAAGTCTCAAAATTAATTTAATATTTCCAGATAGATCTAGATAAAAATCGTATAAATTAGCTTTGTGTGAAAATCGATAAAAGAATTTTTTTGTAATCAGCAAATTAGAATTCTCAAAATATATCATGAGTTATTTCAATGTCAATGAAATCAATTTGAATATACACATATAATTATCAATTAAAAACAAATTTTCTGTCTGTATAGAATCCTTTAATAATTGTGGGATGCATAAAATTTCCAATACATTTTAAAGTTAAATTTTAAGTTTAAAGGTTCGATAAGGAGTCTGTTTTGTTTTTGATTAGTAGATTGTAGAATTTGTTAATGAAATCTCTATAGTTTTTATTCAAGTGCAATTACATTTATATCTATATTTCTGCAAAACTCCATTTCAGGGGGGATCTGAATGTTTACAAGTAAATGAGATATTTATATATATGTATATTGAAATGACTTATTACTCTTAAGCAATACATATTGTTATTCAAATATATGAATATTATTTATGCTTTTTTATCCATTTCAAAGTTAGATAAGAATATTCTAGGATAATTAAAAAGTTTCACATTCTCTATTGATAATACTAAAATGATATTTATTTTAATAATTAGTGCAGGATAAAAATAAAATAAAAATTATATCACGCATGTGTTAATTATTTCTATCAACACTTATAGCTTTTCTTTTGTTTGATGAAAAATAGAAGAATCAAAGTGATTATACTAATTTAATTATTCTAATGAATAGATAAGCAATACATATTGTTATTCAAATATATGAATATTATTTATGCTTTTTTATCCATTTCAAAGTTAGATAAGAATATTCTAGGATAATTAAAAAGTTTCACATTCTCTATTGATAATACTAAAATGATATTTATTTTAATAATTAGTGCAGGATAAAAATAAAATAAAAATTATATCACGCATGTGTTAATTATTTCTATCAACACTTATAGCTTTTCTTTTGTTTGATGCAAAATAGAAGAATCAAAGTGATTATTACTAATTTAATTATTCTAATGAATAGATAATACGTTTACAAGTAGTTCTTAGAATATGACCACTACAGAGGTGATGTATTTAATGAATATTTAAAAATTTGCCAATAATTTATTTTTAGCATATGCAAATTTGTTCATATTTTACTATGCAGTGACACTTACTAATTTCCTTACATTAAAGATAAAGAATACGTTTGTTTGTTTTAGCATTTTTATTATGTATGTATATATACATACATAATTTGTATAATATTTAATACAAATAAATATACATACATACAGACACAAACCAGCAGGGTGTATATATATATATATATATATATATATATATATATATTATAGAGTTTAATATTCGGGTTTATTATATTTTATTGGCGCATAAAATCAATTAAAATATATATTATGTTTTATTGATATATATATATTATATATATATATATCTAATATATAAACAATATATAAACATTAATATTACAAACATATAATAAATATTATATATATATATATATATATATATATATCTAATGTTTAGGATAATATTTTTCTACTTACCGCCATCACTAATTCGAATGGATATTTGTAAATTCGGACTGGAGATTGATAATGTTGCACCATTTTTTGTTTTTTTTATTTTACACTTATATAATTTTTAAAACTTAAAACTAAGAAACATCAACAACTGGCATAATCCATAATATATTAAAATTATTAAAAGATTACTATTAACAAATAAATATTTATTTTCTTCTATATATTTATAATACAAAATCGGCCAAGCAGGCCGATCGGGGCCTTTCTTCTATCACACACTCACGGACACAACACGTTCGCGAGCTTCTTTCAGATCTGTCAAATGTGTCAAACTGGATTCGAGTAGTAACTCAAGAGCGAATTTGCGTGACAGAGAGCTGGCCGGCATTACATCAAAATATTTCCTTATATGGATTTAGAACTTCACTTTACAATGTTTAATTTAAAATAAAATAATTAAAAAATAAATATAGAAAGTTGACTAAATTAATGAACATCTTTATAATCTATAATACTTGTAAAATATCGAGACCCATTTTCAATATAAAATTTCACAAAATATCAATTGATTAAATTAAAACACACGCGTAAATACGTTGCACTTTATAACAGTTATATCTTTTCATAAGCAATCACTCTTTAAAATCCTATCTTTAAAAAATAAACAAATCGAAATACTTTTTTTCAATTTTAGCCACAGAAGTAAATTTGGTACTGGATGTCCTATTATTTTCTGAGAAATCAAAGACATTTGTCACGAGAGCGAATAAGCCGATTCTGTCACTCTATTGGCGTTTAAAAAACTAAATTTTTAGCGCCCTTTTCAAAATACCTATAAACACCCATGCATTTCTTGAAGAGACATCATATTCTATTTATTATTATGTAACATAACGCTTATTAAATTTCTTAATAATTTATTTTTTTGGTTAGCTTAAAGAAATAGTAATAACAGTTACATGACAAGACTTAAATATAATGTGACACATGACACCATAGAAGAATAATATATGTATACATTTTAAACGTGTTGAGTTTTTCTCTAATATTTTATATTTATTTGTAGAGTATTTTAAAAGAAGTAATGGCTGTGTGTATTGATTATATTAAGCGAGAATTTCCATTAATAGATGACGATTTAAAACAATACGTCGAAGGTAATTTAAAAACATTGATCTTGCGTGCAATATGTCATTAGTTTTAGGTTATATATTGTTAACAATATATCTCTTTTTTTAGGTGTTTTAGAAAATGGGGCAGATGATTTCGAAGACAGCGATGAAATATACGAAGCTATTGGAGAAGTTTTACATGAAATTTCAGAAAAAACAGAGGATGACATACGGTATTGAAAAATATGTTATTTAGCTTATTAAATAAAAATTATTCACAGACAGTTATGTTACTGACTGTGTGATTTTTTATTAAATGTATTTTTCGAAATATCATTCACCACTATACTTTTCTAATATATTTTATATTTATTCTATAGTTTTTTTTTATTCTAGACTTTAAAATATTTTATATGCATCAGTGTATATATTTAGTTTCAATTACTGCATCATTTATATCTCAATAGAAACATATGCGAGAAACTTCTTATGATGATGAAACCAGAAAAGGCTGTGAGCAAAACACAGCATAAAATATTAGATGCTCCTGTACACTTAGGTTCAATGGCAGCAACTTTAGAAGCTGGTGTTGATGATCTTAAAAGCATATGGGCTGTACAAAGGGATGATAATTTGGTGAGTACAAGCTGTTGATTATACTAATTGGAATTATTGCAAACTAAATCATGATTTTAGAAAGTTGATGCAAAGAAACTAGAAAAAGCAGAAGCCAAATTGCAGCAGAAACTTGAAAAAAGACAGGATGTTAAGCCAGCGGCTGTAGCAAATACAGTATTACAAACTGCTACAGCAAGTCAAGTAACAAGTAAAAAGGACAATAAACTTGAAGCTAGGGGCAATAACCGTGCGCAAGATATTCGTATTGAAAATTTCGATGTTGCCTATGGTGACAGGTGATTGTGAAGCTTTGCTATTCAATCATTGCCTATTGACACTGCATATAATATTTGCTTTGTTTTATTTTTATATCATTTTCATTTAACTCCATAACAATATAAAATCCACAACAATGACTCCATTTTAGTGTGGTTATATAAATAATTTGATATCCTACCTTTTGGCATTCATATTTTAATTTTATATCTACATATTATTAATTAATTCTAATATTGTAGGGTATTATTACAAGCAGCTAATCTTGTTCTAGCCTTTGGTCGACGCTATGGTTTTGTAGGAAGAAATGGCTTAGGTATGTTTCATTTCGCCTTCATTTAAATAAATGTACTATTGAAAAATTTGTATTTTAAACCTTCCACTTGTAGGTAAAACAACTTTATTGAGAATGATATCAGGAAAACAGTTACACATCCCATCTCACATATCAATTCTGCATGTTGAACAAGAAGTTGTTGGTGATGATACTCCAGCTTTAGAAAGTGTTTTACAATGTGACTTAGTAAGAGAGGGATTACTTCAAAAAGAAAGGGAATTGACTAAAGCAGTAAACAATAAGTAAATTATTATTAAAATAATATAAATGGATATTCAAATATTTTAACACAACAATTGATGTTACAGAACCAGTGATAATACTGAAGGGGATATTAGTGCAGAATTGTCAGAAGTATATGCCCAGTTACAGGTAATTGATAATTTAATATAAGTAAATTCTATGTATTTTTCATATGAAGGTTAAATGCATATTAAATAACTGTTAATATGATAATTTTAGATGATAGAATCGGATAAAGCACCAGCTCGAGCATCAGTAATTCTTAACGGTCTTGGTTTTTCACCAGAAATGCAGATCAGAGCAACGAAAACTTGAAGCTCAAATGCAGCATAGAGCCCATGTTCAGGAATTTATTGATAGATTTCGATATAATGCAAATCGTGCTGCCAGCGTTCAGTCTAAAATTAAGATGTTGGAAAAATTGTAAGTTAATTTATAATTATATAATATTCAGAAGTTTTGTTTGAATGACAAAATGCTCATGAAATACTTTTTTATATAGACCAGAATTGAAGCCTATAGAAAAAGAAGTGGAAGTAGTTCTGAAGTTTCCTGAAATAGAACCTTTATCTCCACCAATACTATCATTAAATGAGATTACATTTAGGTACATCGATCAAACCAACAAAATTCAGTTTTATAATTCCACACCTTAGTTGTGATTCAACTTTAGCTAATGAAAAATATACATTTCAGATATACTCCTGAGAGAACTATATTTACTAATGTAAACCTCGGAGCGACTTTAGAATCCAGAATTTGTATCGTAAGTCTGAAAAATTCAGCTCTAATGCTCCATGTAATATAATTCATACTTCATAATGTATCAATATTACAGGTAGGTGATAACGGAGCTGGTAAAACTACATTATTAAAAATTATCATGGGTTTGTTGACCCCTACACAAGGCTCTAGGCATACACATAGAAATTTGAAATTTGGATATTTTTCGCAACATCATGTAGATCAACTTGACATGAATGTTTGTTCTGTTGAATTACTCCAGCAGAGTTATCCTGGTACATACAAAAATTTATATCACAACCATGCAGGAATTTTATTCATAATTAAAAATATTATTATTTATAGGCAAACCTGTGGAAGAATACAGAAGACAGTTGGGTAGTTTTGGTGTTTCTGGTGATCTTGCATTACAAACTGTAGGAAGTCTCAGTGGTGGTCAAAAGTCTCGCGTAGCCTTTGCTAGAATGTGTATGGGATGTCCTAATTTTCTGGTTTTGGATGAACCTACTAATCATTTAGATATAGAAAGTATAGAAGCACTTGGAAAAGCTATAATAAAGTACAATGTAAGTGAATGTAATTCTTTAAATAGTGATATTCATGCATTTCAACAAAGAAATGTTATTAAAGAAATCAAATTTCAATGTTATTTTTCAAATTAAAACAAAATTATTCAGCCATTTATTTATATACATGTGTATATATATATATAATAATTTAAATCAATTATTTTTTATACTTACAGGGAGGAGTGATACTTGTTTCTCACGACGAACGTCTAATTAGAATGGTTTGTAAAGAATTGTGGGTTTGTGGCAACGGATCAGTTAAGAGTATAGAAGGTGGTTTTGATGAATATAGAAAAATTGTAGAACGTGAATTAGAGGCCCAAAATAAATAAAATTTTAGTTTCATTGCATAAAGTCATTTTTTAATAAATAAATTAATATTATTTTAAAACCAAAGTTTTATATCTGACAAATTATTTTTTTATATAAAAATGAAAGATATTTATTAAAATAATATTTATTATTGTGATTTAATGAAAAACAAAATTTTTAGATATGAACAATTATTCAAGTATTATGTATTATTGTATTCTTTGAACAATAAGTACACAGTCTGTACAAAATGAAGTAAATATCCTGTAATTTTGGCCTTTTTAATTTTTTGTATATATATAATGATTATAGTTGAATAAATGACAAACATTATTTAATTGCTCTAATTAGCTTGTTTTTCTTTCGTATTATATGATAAACGAAACTTTGGTATTATTGGTTACTATTATCTGCATTGAGAAGCATTCGAATTGTACTTATGGGAACATTGACACTTTCAATGTTCCTTATATTAAATCTACCCAAAGACGATTTTCGTTGGATTCTCTTTAAAATTTCATCTGGCGTGTTACATAGACTTCCCGGCTCTGAATTTCTAGAACAGAAAAATGTATTCGTGTTATAACATTTCAATAAAATACTGAAATGTTGCTAGAGTTTTCATTTTTTTGGTTAATATTTACTCAAATATAGAATTAAATTGTATCTAAACTAGTGCTTTTTTCATTTCATTGGTAATCAAAACTAAGAAATATAAGGGTAATACCTATTCTCGGCAGTGTAATTCTCGTCCACATTTCTTCTATTAGATACTGCTCTGTTTATGCATTGGTCGATTATTGGTTTTTGTTGCTCATAATTCACAATTTCCGATTTGTTATCGACGATGCTATTCCAATTTAAAGCGTGTGTTTCCATTTTTTGGGGTTTTTGCTCAGAGTTCAAGTTAAAAGAATTTCTACTGCCATCATACTTTCTATGCTGTGAATAGCCATGATATAATTTGTTCTGTGAGTGCTCTTTCGTTGCATATGAGTGTGATACTGAATCCATATTAAATCTATATTTTTGCAAACTAGAAATAATTTTATTTTGATCCACCTCTGCTTCCATGTTCTGAAAAAAAATACAATCCAAATCATAAAATATAAGTAATTCTATAAACTAATATCAAAATATGTATTTAAAGAAAAATGAGACAACATTTCACATTCAATAGTGAAACCAAAATGTATTTATACAACATTTTTAGATTTAATTTTTAGTAATACTCATAATGGTTTTTATTGCATGATATCTCTGATATATAAATAAATCGTGGGCCTAAAAGCTTAAGCTATTAAATACATAAAAATTTATTATTTTTAGAAGTGCTCACCATTAAAGGAGGATTCACCATGGGCCAACCTCGTACACCAAAGTTTGATATTTTTTTCTTGGTGGGCGATTCATACAGTATAGGTTGTCGCTTTAAAAATTGTCTATGCCGAATATCATTTCTCTCATCCTGGATATTACAGTAACCGAATCTTGTGTTATTATTTCTATTTGTGTAATCAGAATATTTGAATCCCATATCGGATTTAGTTATATGCATTGGTGAAATTTTTACATCATATGGGGATAAAACAGGTGTCTTGACGATAGCATTGTAACTTTCGTCCAATTTAGAGAATAATTCACGATATTTGTTTTGATTTGATGACATGTTGTGTTCATTGCTTGCATATTTCAAATTAGTACTATACATGTTATCGTTTGCAGTCGTCATCTCCACATCATTTTGTGTTACAGTTGGTGTGTTGATATAACTAACAATATTGCTATCTAGGCATTTTGAAACATAATCATCACGAGTTTGGTGAAAATTACAATCCATTTCGTTAACATTTTTATAGTTATCGTCAATATTTCCTTCAAATTGTGAAGTTAGATAATTATTATTCGAATAACGTACGTCATTTTTTAACTCATTTGATAAAATTCTTGGTAATATTTTTTCTGGGTTACTATTTTGTAACCTTGCTCGAAAGCCAATTTCTAATGAGTAATCGCGGATTTGTTGTAAGTTGTACTTATCTTCTAAGTTCTGATAATCATTACCCGGATCATATTTTTGTAATTCCGGATTACAATAATTTTTGTATAATTCATTCTTATAGTTATTATTGTTATTGAATAAAGCTTCATTTTCAATTCCACCAATTTGAGTGTAAGATCTATTGATTTCATAACTATCATCATTTTTAATATCTGTATTTCTATTAAAATTCTGACATCGATTTTGATTTCTCGATTGATCACACCACATTTTGTTTGTATTGATATTATTTTTAATCGTCGCGCGGTTGTCGAAAATTTGATAGGCATTGTCTTGCGCGAATTGTAAACTTTCGTTGGAATATTCCTTTGGTCTATCGAAATTGATACCAATTTGCAGGGTAGCTTTTTTATTAATGCTTTTATTATTGTGAATATCATCAATTTGCATTTGGTTTCTGATACCATAATTCTGTGGCTCAACGCCACTCACATTTCCGCCACTTTGAATTGGATGAATTGTAGAGAAGTTTTGATCGCTAACATATTGGGTAAATATATTTTTATCTACAAAATTAGTTGAACTATGTGACTTTTCATTTGTCTCGCCATTATTATTCACACAATGTTTATATATTTGATTGCATCCAATTCCTTGCATATTTCCAGAGCCAAAATAATGCTGCTCATGTTTTCCATGTAAAGAAGTATTTTGCCTTGATGACTCCAATAATTTTTCATTATTATTTATTGAATTTGAATTCATTTTCCATTGTGCAATTTCGTTCAGATTATGTGAATCTTCCATGTTAGTATTTTGAAATTCAATATCATTCTTATCATTGTGGTTTTTCAGGAAAGAAAAATTTGGTTCAGAACTATAATTTTGTTTTGCCTGAATAAAGTTTGCAGGTGCTCTAATAGATTCAATGTAGTTGGGATTAATTGATGTTGTAGTCATATTATCGTTCAGTTTAATTTTTTGAGTTTGATCAAAATCTATAAAGGAATTCTGTTGTTGAGACGAAAAAAATTGTGTACAATTCAAATGCTGTTTTGTAATGTCCGATAACTTTTCATCTGAAGATAATGATTTTACTGTTTCATATTGAGCAATTTTAAATTTTACAAATTTAGGAACATTCTGTTTGCTGTTATTAATACAAAAGAAATATTTTCTGTATGATTTATATTGGGCATCGTCAAATCTGAAATTTTTGCAATAGAATTCATTGAATTTAAAGCGTTTTCGTTTAAATTATTCATTGGATCACGTGGTTCCTTTCTAATTTCTTGGATATTATTATTTTTTTCAAATTTAATATAATTGCTGTTGTGGACATCTACCAAAGAACTATTTTGGAGATTTTGGGTATGCTGCTGTGGCAAATCGGACAACTTTTTATTCAATAATAAATTTGAATTTAAATCATTTGATTCAATACAACGATATGCATTTTCTTTAAATTCTATTCTTTTATTTTGCTGTTGAACATAATTTAGGTTGTAGTTATTTTGCAGCAAAGAAATATTTGAATTATTCACAACTTGACGTTCGCATTCTGGTCTATAATTAATATCAGTATGTTTAAGTGACTTCTGTTTATTGTTATCTACACTGTTAATATTTTCAAATTCAATACGTTTTTGGTCAGAGCTATCTCTCTCACGATTAATCGTGGTATTGTTATTAGAATTTTCATTTGTCCAATCTTGAATTATTTTATTCAATTTATTATCGAATTGGTCACATGTTCTTTTCGTGTTTTCATTACTTTTATTATCCTTGAGTTTTCCTTGGTCCAGATTATAATTTTCTGTTTCCTGCAGCTTTGTAAATAATTCGTCATCAGCAGATGCATTTTTGAAGTTTTCAAGAATATCATTCGATTCAAGCAATTCAATAACATGATAGTTCATATCATTGCCTGCATCTATATCATTTGCCCAATCACTAGCCTCAGCATTGATTTCACTACTGTCTGGTGGTTTTATTAAATCACTTTCAACGTTTTTATTATTATAATCATTGTTTCTAATACACCATTTTTGTGAGTCTGATGTATGCTGAACATTAGTTTGGTTATTGAATTGCTGAGTTGTCTGATCATAATTTGGATAGTTTTCAATATTTTTAACATCTTGGTGATAATCAAAGTTATATTGTTTTTCTTCTTGCACAAGTTCATTTTGAATTCCTGATTCGCTGAAGGAAAGATTACTTATATTCAACGTCGATTCTACATCCAAACCAACTGCAAATATTGTCATGCAAATTGTTACTGTTTTATATTGAAATCATATAAACGATTATCAAACTAGGTTCCGGAATCTTACCCCAAGTTTTACTGATGATTCTGGCAGTGATAATACAGTCTTGTAATGATTTCAAGGAAACTATTTGGGACCATTTAAAACCTGGCGCAATATGTCTATCACTAATAAAAGATACTGTATCAATGGCAGTAAAATATAATGAAAATTATATTATAAATAAATATTTACTCACATTTTAGCCTCATATAAAAGTACATTGTTAAATGAATCACCGACTAGAATCGAAGCATCCACAGATTCTATGAATGTATTATTGTTTTTCACACGTACCAAAACCTGAAGTATTTGGAACTTTCATTAACAATTTCATAATATTTATCATCAAAATTTTAAAATAGGTTTTGGACATAGCACAAGTCACATAAAATCACAGAGAAAAAATCTCCTTAATCAGATTAAATTTTCAGATAGTTAATTAACGTATGTAAGTTATATCACAGTTTCTTTATCCTTTATCTAAAGTAAGTATATTTATTATAATGAAGTAAAGAAGATAAAATTTACCTCAATAGAATCGCCAAATAATTCCATTGTTAAACTGAACTGAGGGAGCTGCGCAACTCTTTCAAGAATATCATCACCGACAGGAGGCACTTTATGAATTATCTGGAAATTTACGAATAACATATTATATATTAAGCAGTTAACTGTGAAAAGTGCAATCACAGAGTAAGTTACAGCAAAAAATCAAGCTTTCTTTCGAATAAAATTTAAAAAAAACGCTATTATTTTTCTATATTGAAGTAGAATGTGTTATTAAAATCGGTCGAAAATGTTCCTAAGTTATTTATATTGTTCAATGTAATTATGTTTGTTCAACCAAGTAATAATTAAAATATTTATTATTCACACCAGTGGTGTTGTGCTAATATTTATTTTGCTGAAACGCTAAAATTAAAAAAAAACGGTTCTCATGTTTGTTCCGGTTCCGTTCGAAAAGGAAAGAAACAAAAATCATTACTAAACACATTTTGTGCACATATATGTATGTTTATTACAATAATAGGAACGTTTAATAAAAATTAGTTAAATTATAATTTATAAAATTCGGTTTCTATATGTAGCATTTTTTTTTTGTCGAAAGCGTTTCAGCCCAAAAATGATTTGCCGGAACGACGTTTCGGTACGTTCCGGCTCGACACATCACTGATTCACACTGACTTAATGATTATTATTAATTTTCAAACAAACCCTTTCGATATCCCTTGGATTTGTATCAGCTATGGTTTGAAAACTATCTTTTTAACAATCACCAAAAGGTTTCACGCGTTTTGGCCCAAAAATGATTTGCCGGAACGACGTTTCGGCGCGTTCCGGCTCGACACATCACTGATTCACACTGACTTTATGATTATTATTAATTTTCAAACAAACCCTTTCGATATCCCTTGGATTTGTATCAGCTATGGCTTGAAAACTATCTTTTTTAACAATCACCAAAAGGTTTCACGCGTTTCGGCCCAAAAATGATTTGCCAGAACGACGTTTCGGCGCGTTCCGGCTCGACAACACCAATGATTCACACTGACTTAATGATTATTATTAATATTCAGTTACAAACCCTTTCGATATCCCTTGGATTTGTATCAGCTATGGCTTGAAAACTATCTTTTTTGGCAATCACCAAAAGGTTGGCCAAGGCAGGTCCGATACCGGGCAATTGGCGCGAGACGTGTTTGCTATTTTCCCATAATCCAGTGTTTAGGCATTTCGTTAGTACCAAACACGCGTGTAAAGCTGGTAAACATGGAACTTCCGCTACTGATAGTAGTAAAAAGTCGGTCAAACCTGCAAAATAGAAACCATAGATAAAATAGATACTTAATCCACTCAATCCATTGAAGGTAATGTTATGAGGCAAGATTTTTTAATGGTAGTAGATTTTCTGACTTATCTTTTATCTTTGCTGAAGAAGTATTAGAGACGTTTACGAACAGATTCAACAAAATGCAAAAATAATAATTATTATAACAAATTATAATACATTACAATTAGTGATTCGCTCAGCAGTCTTTCGGATTACAATTGCTTCTTGATACAACGCCGAATTTGATATTAATTGCATTCCTAAGCTGGCCTGAAGTAAGCTGAAAAATATGAATTAGGGATTAAAACGCTTTATATACAATTAAATATATATGTATATGTAGTAAAACCCCGTTAAGACAATTTTCCACGACCGGACCAAAGACTTATCAAAGTAAAAAGCATTTTCTGCGTGATAGGAATAAAAAGATTCGAAGAGCGGACATAAATTAGCGTATTATGTGAGAAATCGTATTATCGTATGATCATCTTAACGGCATTCTACTTTATGTCATAAACCATTACCAATTAATTTTTTTCTCAACTGTCTGTATCAAGCCAGGAACTGGAAAACGTATTCCTGTATTACAATTTCGAGGTCTGTTAAGAGCATTTAATACAGTTCTGTCTCCCATTCTTAATGAAATTTGATCAAATTCGCGACACCTTGAAATACGTGTCAAAATTTCTTCCATGGTTGCAGAAGGATTTAACTGTGAATAGAAATTCGATCATAATTATCGTTTGTCGAAACTGGAAATATGAATTTAACGTTTAACAAAACGTAAGCATATATATTATTATATAATAATAATATATTAATATTATAATAATAATATAATATATTATTATTATAATTTTTACATAGAATGGTAAAATTTATAATACCTGATCAAAACCTTTCATCGATTCAAATTTTAAGTAATATTTTGCCATAAGTTCTCCCTTTTCCGTGGGAAATACATTCAATCCAAAATCCGTATCGAAGTTTAGTAAATGGTGCTTGGCCAGTGCATTCATTTCGATGTGACACAATGCTAAATATTACAAATAATATACATATGCTGATTACAATTGCTTCAGATTAATTAATTAAATTTCAAATTAATTCCTCAGAACTAGAACCCTACTTTTTTTTCAAAATTTTTTACTTTGAACTAATTTGAAGTTGAACATTTTCCTGTGTGGTCAAGAAACGTTTTTCTCATTAATTAAATTTTTTTCTAAGCATTCAATTAAGACAAAAGATAAAATTTTCTAAGGTTCATATTGGTATAGTATTCTTACTTATCGCACTCGAATAATAATAAACTTAAATCTACTAACCCTCCAATTTTTTCTCAACTTGATCACGTTTGAGACCAAACTGTAACCCATAGTGAGTTGGATTTTTGACGGCTCTCACGTACAAGAATGTAGTTCGAATCCATTGCAGTGCCACCGCTAAATCTGTGATAGTTCCCAACACAACTTCAGCATTCAGGTGTTCTCCCAGGTGTCTATGAAGTGAAGATTCTATCAACTCCGTGCCACTGATCAACGACTCGTAATATTTCTGTAAAAAAATTGAAAAAAGGGATCGTTTTAATTTTTGCAACTAATATACAAATAACATTGTACATATAATGCTTAAGTGTTTATGACTGGAAAATCTTATTAAAACATCAGGTTAAGAATAAAGGCAATTTTTTTTGGCCCTTGTTGGTAATTTCCGAGCAATTAGTTTTTATATAAATCCCTGATATGAATTCTATTAATTTAACAAACAAACAAAAATAGAAACGAAAAACAAATAATAGAATTACCTTGAAAAACCCTTTCTTACTAATTGCAGATATTATTGATAATGATAATGGTAAGAAACGCTAATAAAATATATTATGTTGATACTTATAATATAAGAAACGTAACCAAACTAAAAGAATATATTTTAAATTAAATATTCACCCAAATTAATAACGCAAGTTATTAATAAGTAAGTTAAGAAGCAGTGACAAAAAGTTATAAAAAATGGCAATCTGATTTGATATAAAAGAGCCCAAAAGATCAATGAAGGCTTCTTACTAGAGAAACTTTCCCAAAGCCATGGAAAATTATCTCATAGTCTCAATGAAATATTCTAGTTGATTATTTATGAAATTGCAATGAAAATAGAACAATTTTTGCTGGTGAAGTTTTCATTGAAGATCGCGTGATCCATTTTTAACTTAGCAGTTAACTAGCAGTAAGTGGAATTCTGCCTTAAGGCAATTAAGGCATCGTGCCTTAAGGCAAATTGCTGGAACTTCCCATACCAAAATTTTTTTTTAAAAACGATTAACATTTTAGAAAAAAATTTACTTCGAAAAAATAAGATTTTTGAGTAACTATAAATAGGAAAAAAATTACTTTTTTTTGAAAAAAAAAAATTGAAAAAAAAAATTGAAAAAAAAAATTATTTTTTTTAAATTTTTTTTTTGAAAAAAATGTTTTTTTTATTTTGACATATTTTGGAAGATCTGAACTCTTTTTCAAAGCAATCGTACTGCTTTAACTGAGACAAAATACAGAGCGCAAGCGCCGCGTTGCTGTCTAACGGATAAACATTGGTACGGAACCCATAGGAATGTAAACAAAATTTATACTTATTGTTAAAATTTATATAAAATATCTGATACTCTGATGTGCATACTCGTATGTCTAATGTTCATTTTTGACCACACAATAGTTCATTTTTTTAGATCTGCCTTTATGAAAATTTGAACAGTTCTTCATCTTGTTAATACAAGTAAAATTCTTTTTGAATTATTCAAATCGGACGCTCCGTTCTCTTAAAAACTGAGTTACCGTTTTTGGCACTTTTTGCCCCATATCTTCGGAACGGCTAGACCTGCCTTCGCCAAAAATTAATCAGCACGTCTCCTTATTAATACGAATCGAATGTTTCTTGAATTATTCAAATCGCTTCATCCGTGTTCCCGAAATCGTCGACGAAAATTTGTATCCGAACATACACACACACGCACACACACATACATCCATTTTTTCTAAGGTATGCCAAAATGTTCAGAAACCTTTGAAACCTAAAAATATATAAAAATTTTCATTTTCGATTTTTTTGCGATTACTATACATAACTTGCCCTACTGGAAGTTAAAAATAATATTAAGTTTCATAAAAAAATCACAAATTAATTCGCAGTTAATTTGTCAGTGATCAGGGTGCTTGAAAGAGTTATAAAGATAAATAATCATTCAAAATTTTATTAAAAATCGAAACCTGAAATATTCGATAATTCTTTAACCCTTTCCACTCCATAGTCGACATGGTGTAATACCTCTTTTTGCGAAAAATTTTAAAACAGGTGGGATTTTTGTTGCTAAAATGTTTGAATCACGAAAGAATGAAATGAAAAACAAATAAATATGCTCCTAACATTTTAGCTACAAAAAATATATCTTTTACAAAATGCACAGAAAACACTAAAAATAAAAAAAACGTAATTTTACTGGTGGAATAAAAATAAAAACACCCTTGGGGTGCAAAGGGTTAATATATCATTATCCTTATAACGTTCAAACAATAACTTGTAACCAAGTTATGTCCTGTAAAGATAGATCGTGAAATTTAAGTGCTCAATTAAATTGATTAAGAGCTCGAAATTTATTGTACCAATATATAAAGTTTATTTTCATGTAAGTAGATTTAAACGTCTATTTTGTCGTTGTTTTTATTTTATATTAAAAAATTCTTAAAAACATATTAAGGTTTTTTTTTTTTCACATTTTTCAGATTTTTCCGTATATCTGAAAGATTTGTATCTGTCCCAAAAATGCATGCATATGAATTCAGAATAATTCTATTTTGAATTATATATTGATCATTTGCATCCGCCAAGCAAATAAATACTTTTATAACATCGTTCGAGAGATTTTACACATCTTTGCCGTATACTAATTCCGTTTCTTACGGTATTGTTATATTGTGTTCTATATAAAGTGAATTACAAATATTTTTTCAAATTTATCTCACCTTCCCGGCGCACACACACGCAAACACACACAAAGTTTCGTACAACACATTGTTATTGTTTCACCACCTGAGTGAAATGACAGCATAAATTAAATAATTATACGTCGCTATAATTATATGAATAATGTATCAAAATGTTGCGAATATCCTATATGCAGCAAAAATGTGTCACTTATGCAATTTATCCGAAATGAATGCAAGAATGGCAGTGAATACAATTTTAATGATCGTTGAGATAAATTGAAAAATGTAATATAAAAACATTAATAGAACAAACTTATTTCGTTTAAACTTAAATTGAATTTAGACGAAATAAGTTTGTTTGCTTTACAAGCATAATTTTCATTTAAAACATTATCGAGAAAAGCAGTCTTTTACGTTAGGAGGATTATCAAATTAAAGTTAAAATATGAAACATTGTTCTTTATTGATTATAAAAAACTGTGCCAAGTTTGAAGTAAATTTTGCAACTAATTTTCGGCTAACATGTACAAAAAATTCGTTATTTAAAAGCAACATATAGTTGCTTCAATTTCATTAACAAGCTCTTATAATTTTCAGTATTTCAGTATCAAATATACAGGTGATTATTAGTAAGCTCATAACCATTAAGTATTGCAGATACTTTTTGAATTTAACTTAACATTAACATCAAGTGTAAAGTTAGTAGTTATCATTATGTTTGATTTCAATGCTTCTTACCAAATCAAAATCTCTCTCCAAGATAATTTAAAATACGATTCTATTATCTCAAAACTGATCTAACGCCAATAAAATATATTTGTAATTTTTTTCTAGTAATAATATTAATTAATAGGCGGCAATGAAATTATCAGCAATGTTGTTGTTGAATTTACCTTGACCGCATACTGGAAAAAAACATTAATAATCGATGCGTACGAATACAAAGAATACATCTAATAATTGTATAATTATAGTAAAAAATAGTTTTATTTGCATTGAACAGAAGATGCCTGTATGATAATTGCAAACATCTAAATAAATTACTGTGTCATAAGTAATGGATTGCATAATGTAACCACTCAGATAATTTTGATCAATTTCAATATCAAATAGATCAGGAATTAACTATTTGAGTTTTATCAAACGACCATTTGATGTTTTAAATGAGATGCGTTACGTCCTTTTACTTATTATTCACTCATCAGGGCCAACTTTTTGTAAATTGGTAGTTTTGTCAAAGAACATATTAACAACAATTTGAATAATTTATTAGAACAAATGCGGAATAAATAAGCAAAAATAAAAAAAAAACTGATAACATACTAAAACAATAAAAGTTATGAAAAACATGCATTATGTAATTTTTACGATCAAAATAAAATTGCTGCTTGTCTATACAAATGGATGACTATTATTGCACAGGTTTCATTGTTATTTTGTATTAACCCCTTAACTTACGATTTAGATTCGAAAATGTCGGGCCAAAGTTATTCAAGCTGGCGCAGCGTTTGCGACTATTTTGCCACACATTGTACAGTTTGTCCCAAAAATTTTGTATTTTAGAGTTAAATAGAGTTAATAAATATCAATAATTGCAATCACCGTACTGAACGATGGCCGTAATGAGTAATATTTGCTTCTGGCCCGATTATTGTCGGAACCGTGTGGGCTGGGTGGGTTTGAGCCCACCCATGGATTTTGATGGCTGAGCACACCCATGGATTTTGATGGCTAAGCCCACCCATGAATCTCAAGAATTGATATTGTCTAAAATGTCTAAAAAAAAGGAGCCCATACTGGCTGCCTACCCGTCACAAATTTGCTTCCGACGCCACTGGGCCTAGCTATTGCACTACACGCAGGCTCTACTCGTCATTGTAAGTTAAGGATTTAAAGGGTTACATGGATTTCCTCGGGCAAAAACGGCATTTTTTCAATATTTTTTTTAAAATCCTTCGTTCAAGACTTTGTAAATGAGTAGTTCGCGAGAAATCTTGACAATTGTCTTTGAAAACATAGTTTTGAGAAAAACGCGTTTAAAGCTTTAAGGGGGTTGTTCTTTTTTTGTTACAAAACATGCAAGTTATTTGTTTTTGTTTTTCTTGAAATGTATTTATCATAAAGACATGCGGTTTTTTTTAATCAAAAATTACAAATTCATAGAATATTAAGAAATTTTTTATTTTATTTTTTTCGCTGTCATTTTTTAACCAGGGGGCGCCAAATTGGGCATTGCAAAATCGATCTCGTTTGCGGTGCCACAGATAAATCTGTTGCGCATCGCCTGAAACAGAAAAAAACGAAACTACGTTGAAGAAGAAGTTTGAATCCAGTCCCCCTACCAAAATGAAAGAAAAAAAGCAAGAAGGAAAAAAATGACAGCTATTTAAAAAAAAAGTGTCCAAAAAGGCCTTTGTTTTGAGACGAGAAGGTTCGCAAATTTTTTTTGCGTAATGTTATCAAGTTGTTTGAGGTAGGGGGACTAGGTATTGCAGTGGTGAACAAATTAAAAAAAAATGCAAGTCGATCCGACTTGTAGTTTTCTTTGTATTTGTGGCACCGCATTGA